CCCCGACGTCGGTTTTTTTATCGTTAATATTGTTATTGTTATTATATCGTGATTGTCACAAATCAACGTCGTGAAAAAAAAAACACAATTTCGATGTAAATCAATCGAATTATTTCATTTTACATTGTTTTCCCGTGTGTAGTGTGTTGTATTTTATTCTATAGAAAGTTAAATGATTCTTAATGTTATATACAGTGGACAATGATTTTTATTAATCGATAAACCATACGACAAAAAAACAAGAGAGTTTTAATTCATGTTTTTCTATTTGATACAAATAATAATTTGATTGTATAAATCAAAGAAAAATAAGCAAGGAAAAATAAATGAATTCGTTTGAATTGACAACACGTGAAGTTTACGATTCGTTAAAAGAATTGTTCGATCGATCGATCGATCCTTGAATGATGATATAATCGGTGATGAAAAAACCAAAAAGAATATATCATCGTGTTGTTTGAAACGTCGATTATTGTATCGGCGTACGATTTACACACGAGGAAGGATATTAAATTGAGAAAAAACAAAAAAACAAAAATTATTGTCGACACGATGTTGTTGACACGTCGTTTGCCGAACGAAATTATCCAGAATTTTTGACAAGGATGAAATAATAATAATAATAATAATAATATTCAATCGGGAGGGAAAAAAATAAGATATTTTTTGAGGATTATCATACAAAAACACTGGCGTGAATTTATCATAACCACCATATACATAATATATATTATGTTAGGAAGAGGATTATTATGGATCTTATTGATGGTGTTGGTGCATGCCGGAAGCGTCGGTACGCTTCTGACAGAAAATATCGAGGATTGGGATGATCCGACCAGTTTTCAAAAACAATGTTCCGCCAAGTGTCCCGAGCTCGATTTAAATCAAGTAAGAATTTTTCGATTTGACGTTTGGTTTCTTTTTTTTTGTTCAAAACAAAAACGCTTATCTATAATATATATTAGAATGAATGAAAAAAGTTTGTCGTACGTTTTTTTAAATTAATATTTTCGAAATAAACTTTACATAAAAAGAAAAAAAAAACAATCCATTATGTAGTTTATAAAACAATAAAATGCACGAATTTTCGGTTCACCCTTAATAAAACTATCCAACAATATTTAAAACAACAACAACAACAACAACAATGCAGTTGTATAATTAATCTTCGAGACGTTTAATAATTATCGAATTAATAACTGAAATGATTTTAATTAAGTTATTATATACGTTATTATAAAAGAATTAAGTTTAGATTAAAAAAGGGAAATATAGTTTAAAAAAAAAAGAAAAGAAAATAAAATCCGTCGATACTATGATGTTGTTCTATCGAACTTATCTTCGATAGGAAAGTTCAAAGTTCCTCGTATAGTAATATAATATAAATGAAATAGTGTAATTTTGGTCTCTCGCAATAATAATAATAATAATAATAATACTAAAGGGCATAAAAAAGAAACGGGTATTTCGAACGTTGGCATAAAACGTTAAATGCAAAAATGGCGACGCGCGAAGGACGTATCAATTTAAACTGTACTCTTCATTCCTACGGCGTACCATTCCGTTAATTAACTTAACTACACGACGACAACGCATCACATCGTGGTCCACCACCACCACCATCATCACCATCACCATCACCAGTAGGAACAGTGCACGTTACTCGGTGAAAGGCAACCTTCCACCATAGAATCCTAGGATTATTCCATCTTTTTCCTTCATTTTTTCTTTATTTAAATTTCATTCACAATAATGCAATGTGTCATACATGTGCAATACCCCCATACGTTCATTTTCAAATGATCATATTATAATAAGTGTTCTATGTTTAGATAAAAGATATATATATATATTAGGGTGGTCCTTAACAGGGTTGTTTTCAAATTTCTTGGCTCCCAGGGGCTCAAAAGCTTCCAAATCTATAAAAAAAAATTCTCTGAAAATTTGAGCTCTTAATATCAACTCTAAGATAGTCCGCATTCCAACCTAAGTTTCTTATGGAAATAATATAAGAGAAATTTCTTTCGTTATTTAGAATTTTATTATTCAGGAATAAATCGATCTATCATGATGATTCATACATATTTTCATGGAGAATTTAACGCTCTACAAAAAAGGTCTCTTAGAATTTTTCGCCAAATCTATTAGTTTACAAGTTATTTCAGCTTAAAGTTTAATTTGTATGTAACTATTAATATCATTAAGTATGATTATTAAGTAAATAATTATATATATTAAAAATATATTAAATATTTCTTGTGTAAAATTTGTATTTATGATCAAAATAAGCAAATATAATGTTATCCGTAGAATTGTGATTAATATATGTGATTTTTAAATAAACCATGGTAAAAATGCTATATATATATATATTTATGGTAAAAATGCATTTTCAATTATTAATTTATTACGTTAAATATATTGATTTACGTATAAATAAAAGCGTGACATTGCGATATACGTTATCGTTAACGTATTATTATTTCCAAACTTCAAAATAATATATCATCCATAGTATAGTAAAATAAAAACGTGCCGATGCAACAATAATAATAAACGAAATCTCATTTTTTCGTAATATCTTATCGGTACCATAAATCGTTCTTTCTCCGCTCGATCTTATCTGTTCACGCGTTTTCTATTTCAATCCTGACCAAAAAAATGAACATATAAAAAATAATACGTATATATATATATATATATATATATACATTTTTATACGGAGAGATAAAAAAAAAAAAATATATACACACACGTACACGCGCGTGAACACAACGAAATACGTATAATACGACCATAAGAGGATAATTAATTATAAACGAAGAACGAGATAAAGGCCGTATCAATGCTCGAGAGTATAAACTATAATGTCACGGCGGGATAGTAATAGTGAACAATGGTAAATTTATATAGGATTACTGTATAACGAAAATTGATTCTCTTTATTGGTAAAATACGTGTAATAATGAATTTTAATCTTACATATGTAATTCATTGATATATATATTCTTATAAACAATCATATTTTTCAATGAAAATTATTACGCATTCGATTGATCGATTGATTTCGCATTTCGTATGGTGTTGAAAAAGAATAACCATATGAGAGTATAAATTATTACACATATATGTATTTATGTATGTATTATCGAGAATGTAAATAATCTATCGCTTCTTTATCGTGACCCCCCGAGAAGGTCGTGTTTAGTATTCTCTCTATGTGATTACGTAATGATCGGTAAAAGTTTGAATTCCTATATTGAGAGCATAAAACTTTAGTTAAATGATTTAGCGCGAAAATTTGTCACGATTAATGATCATCTTACTCATCCTATTGCATTCATTAATACATATATATATATATACATTAATGAATGCATTATATGAATGCATATAAATGATCTAAAAAACATATATAAAAACACAAACATATATCTAAAAAACATATATAAAAACACAATATATATATATATATATATATATATATATGTTTTTTAGATTATTTTGTACTAGAAACATATCAGAAAGAAAGAAAGAAAGAAAGAGAAGGGGTAAGGAGGGTGGGTGATCGCGTGTTACATCTTAATGATGTGTACTATGTTACAACGAACCGTTTAAATGAGATTCTTCATATATATATATATATCTTACAATCACGAAAGAAATCTTTATAATATTATGATATAATGATAAAGATTACATGATAAATGAAAACAAAAAAAAAGAGAATAAAAATTACGATAACACGAATCTTTTTCAATTAAATAACATATATCGTTATAAAAATGAAATATATATATATAAAGATATTAATATTAATATTCGATTGTGCGCAATAAAATGTTATTACATATTAAATCAAATCTCGTATTTACGTGAATTTTTTAAATAAACTTAAAAATGATACCATAGAAATTAATTTAGATGCCAAAAACCACGAAGTCGAGTATTTTAAGTTTAAAATCCTTTTTTTAGGAAGCCAAATGTTTTGTACCCTTTTTCGAAGCCAAATAATATGATATAGAATCACTAGGTTAACTTTATTTTTATATCCGCACACCTGGATTGTGATTTTTAACAAACTAATATTGCCTCAGAGAAATTTAACTGTATTATCTTTACTATAACACTGTTGTTGATATCTGGTCCAGTAAAACTCAAGTAGGAACACTTATGAGATAACGAAATTGTATGGGAACCTATGTTCTCTCGTAAATTTAAAAGAAAAAAAAAAGTCTCTAAATAAACTATATTTTAATATTAAATAATATGGGTGGGGAGAGGAAGGGGAGGAGGGGGGATCGTAATAATATACAAGAGCAACAGGTTAGGCTTCTGTTAAACGTGATTATTTCCTACTAACCGCATAACACTGATCATCCATTGACTAATTCAAATGATAGAGTATTGTTATATTATATTACGTAAAACAAAAAACAATTTCTTTTTACGTAAATGTTTTTCCCCTTGATACATATATATATATATATATATATATATGTATAGATGTATATTTAGTATTGTATACTTCTGCGTAGTATATTGCAATTATCTTCATTATTTTCTATTATCTTGGCGCCGCATGGAAATTGCATTAAAAATATTATGCAACGAGAATATTATTTCTCTGTCGAGTTTATATCAACTGATATGTCAACTACATTTCAATCATAACTAATACAAAACATATTTACATACAAACGTCATACATATATATATATATATATATATGCATGCATAGATGCACATACGTTAAATCGATTTCTTTTATATTTTAAATGATATTTTACATTACTAATTGGTGTAGAAAAGAAAAAAAAGAAAAAAGAAATGACATAGTTGAAGAGTGACTATACCAGTCGAGTAAAATTCCTCGCAATTAACCTCTTTCCCATCAAATACTCTAATTAACTGTTAGAGTATGCCTATGCATGAGAAATTTATGTTTGAATGAATTTGAAATTATTCTAATTATGATATTTTTATTTTCATCGATAAGGTATATTAATATTGAAAATTTACTTATACGAAGGTAATAATCACAGGAATATAAATATCATAAAAAAGAAAAAAAAAATGTAAAAAGTATGAAGTATCATCATACGTACGCGTAACTTTATACAATGGACTTCCTGTTGCTTCTACGGTTCTAACTTTTGTGATCCTGCTGTAACACGCATATACGTTGTTACACGTTTAAAAATGTGATCGATAAAATACAAAATACTTTTTAATCCGTCCCCACCCCAAAACCCCATTGAATCGCGACTTTACACGGTGTATCCCATTTAATTTGAATTTATTGTAAAATAATAATACACGATATTCGACTAATCGAATTATCTGATTATTGGTCTCGAATAAAAATAAATCTTTAAAAATATTTAACTAAATTCTTTGACGTAAGAGAGAGAGAGAGAGAGAGAGAGAGAGAAAAAAGAAGAAAATTGAAACTGGGTCGTCACCTGCATCGCTTAGGCTACTTGTTATACATTAACAACTTCCTTCGGCACGATTGAAGTCATCCAATTGCATGCCTATCGAAAAATTAGAACGACCATCCATCCATTCGCGTTAATAATTCTCGCGAATCAAAAATGAACACGATTTGTAGATATCAAAATCAAAAGTTTCTAAATGTAACTGGAAAAAAAAAAGAAAAGAAAATAAAAATGAGATGGTTCGACCAGGAGAAAAAAGGGGGGGATTAAAATAAAATAAAAAAATAAAAAGAAAAATCTTTTTAAAATGAAAAGAAGAAAGAAAGAGAGAGAGAGAGTTGGTCGTCCCACACACACGCGAGATCGTAGATTTAACTTCTTAACTAACATTAATGCGTTTAGACGGGTCTTTTATACGGGTCGTCATACTTTCCCTCGAATTTAAGAAGTTACATTATTATAGCGGCTCCTAATCTATCTTACTGTATATTATAACACATTATACATTAATATGATAGATATATAATATATTATTTGATTGAATTATTTAAAAACGTTAATATTGTAACATTTAACGAAAATATTATAATATCACGAAAATAATATTTCCCAAAAAATGTATATTACCAAACAATATCAATCACAAATAATTGAAATCTAATGAGGATCATCGTACTTTCCCTCGAATTTAAGAAGTTACATTATTATAGCTGCTCCTAATCTATCTTACTGTATATTATAACACATTACATATTAATATGATAGATATATAATATATTATTTGATT